GCTGAGTAAGTAGGGTAGCGCTGGTGGTACGAAGGCCGTAGCTGAGGTGAAATTGGTGACACGTAGTCACTGCGGCCGTAGCAGAGATGAAATTGGTGACACGCAGTCACTGTGGCCGTAGCCGAGATGAAGTAGGTGACACGTAGTCATTGTGGCCGTAGCCGAGATGAAATGGGTGACAGTCACTGTGGCCGTAGCCAAGATGAAATAGGTGACACATAGTCACTGTGGCCGTAGCCGAGATGAAATAGGTGACACGTAGTCACTGTGGCCGTAGCCGAGATAAAATAGGTGACACGTAGTCACTGTGGCCATAGCCGAGATGAAATAGGTGACACGTAGTCACTGTGGCCGTAGCCGAGATAAAATAGGTGACACGTAGTCACTATGGCCGTAGCCGAGATGAAATAGGTGACACGTAGTCACTATGGCCGTAGCCGAGATAAAATTGTGACTTGACAGTTTTCGTGTAAGTATATGTTAAGGGGTTTATAATGGGCCTGAGATGGGCCTATTTATGGACTACTAAAGCTGGTTAATGCAGCAGACGACAGCTGTCATGGAAGAACGTGCAGTAATAAATATCGTCTGCGAAAAGTAACCGTCACATTCGAAGGGACGCGGCGTTAAATTAAACGGCGAATTTGAAAGGGCACAGTCGTGACGGTTTAAGGAAGTTAATTGTGGCCGTCAAAGTACGTTTTACCGTCATATATATACGCGGAGTTAGAAAAATCCAACCCATTTTGCTATTAACGTTTGGAAAAGTCACCGGCTTGCCTGCACTCAAGATTGTTCGTCCGTTGTCAGTAGAAACCAGGTAATTTGTGAGGATTTGAGTGTCTTTTTTCTACCTTTCTTTGTTGTGAGAATGTCTTCTGAAGAGACACTTAGCGACGGCAGAGTGAGGGGAAGGGTTGAGGAGGCAGAGAGTAGGGATTTGGGGGTGCCGTCGAACATTCTAGAGAGAGAGGATGGGAGAGAGCCGTGTTTCAACCTTGAGGAGGAAGTTGTTAGTGAGGTGGCTGGGTATGAAACAACTTTGGAGAATAGGGGTAGTTTGGCCCACTTGGTTGAGAACTATGGGGTGCCCGGTCGTGTGTTGGTGAGGCCGGCGGGGAGTAGAGAGAGGGCGTGTTCGGCCCCGGGGGACCACTGGATGCCTCTCTACTCCCATTACCTAGCGGCTGGGTTGCGGTTCCCTCTCCCAGACCTGTTGGTGTGGTTGTTGTTGGAGTATGGTCTGGGGTTAACGCAACTCACCCCCAATGCCGTGAGGTTAGTGGTGGCATTTGCAATGTATAGCTGAAGTCGGGGGGTAAGTTTTCCCACTGCTAACGTATTCAAGTACTTTTACGTCTTGAACGCTGGTAGTGGTAGGCAGAAGGGGTGGTACTATTTTACGGGCCGGGTAGCAAATAAGCAGAGGAGGGTTTTGTTTAGCGCCGGGCCGTCTTCCATTAAGGGGTGGAAAGATAAGTTCTTTTTTGCGGATAACACGGAGTGGGATAAGACTGATGCTGAGGTGGAGCACTTGAGTCACTAGAAGGCGAAAGGGTTAAACCTCAACGAGTATAGTTTGACCCCGGGGGAGATAGAGGATGTGAAGGAGTCGGAAAGGGGGGTTGGGTTTGCTGGACGTTATGGAATATACGAGTCAGAGGATGTTAGACGCGACTGAGATATATGGGCCGAGCTCACAGAAGGGAGGTGTGTAACCTTAATTGCTGATTTAGTTCGAGAATTTTGATTAGAGTTTAACCTTGTTTTGTTTTGCAAAAGAAATGAACAAGTTTTTGGACGCAGCTGGTGGAGCTGGAATTCCAAAGAAGGGAAGAGGAAAGAGAGGCGAAGTCAGGAGGCGGGGGGAGGAGATTTCGATGCCTCAAGCCGAAGTGGGAAACTTGGCCATTTCTCAGCCTGGCCACGTTGGGGGTGAAGTGACGGTTGCTGAGGAGGGGCCCATTGTGGCGAAGAGGAGGAGGCTGGAGAGACTAGAGGCCGTGGAGGAGGTAGAAGAGGTACGAGAGCCCATGACCTCAACCCTCCGTCTGGAAGGGACCTCGTCAGCCTCCGCTGCTGAGTTTGCTGCTGCACTCTAGGAGCAAGGGTACATCCGAGCGCAGATAACTAGCTTTTATGACTCCGAGATGAGGAGCACAGCAAAGAGGTTCATCAATACTTACTTCCCGGAGGTGGACCGCCAGCGTGCGAAGGACGAGGTGGCTGCCAGGGGTTCAGTTGGCGTTGTCTGTCAAACGCTGGAGGTATGGTCTTTTCGTCCTGCTTGGAGTTTAAGGATTCTGATTTTGTTAAGTGTTTGACGAGTTGAGGTGGTTCCACTGTGCAGGCTGTTAATCTCGTGAATGTTTTGGCCAACGAGCATCACAAGAGTTTGAAAGAGAGGAACCAGATGAGGAAGGACAACGCTGAGCTCGTCAGGAAGAACAAGGAGGCCGAGGCCGAGGTGGCGAGGTTGAAAGCGAAGATGGAGGAACTCCGGAAAGAAAATGCCACCTTCAAAAAAGACTCAGAGATCTCGTACCAGAAAAGGAAGATATGCGAGGCTGAGCTTGAGAAGAGGGAGAAGGAGCTGGACGATGCGGGGAGGGCAATGGCTGAGTTGGAGCTCAAGGTTCACAACTCAGTCGAGGAGCACGTGGAGGGGTTCCTGAGGTCCAGTGATGCACCAAATACGCACTAATTTTAGGCAAGTGAACCTAATCGATTATGCAGTATAAGATGAGTAAGATATCGTTCCCTCGAAGACTATCCTACA